CACCTCACATGGATATTTTATTTATTTATTTATTTATTTTTCTTAAAGATTGGCACCTGAGCTAACAACCGTTGCCAATCTTTTTTTTTTTTTATGCTTTACCTCCCCAAATCCCCGCTCGTACATAGTAATATATATTTTAGTTGCAGGTCCTTCTAGTTGTGGCGTGTGGGATGCCGCCTCAACATGGCCTGATGAGTGGTGCCATGTCCCTGCCCGGGATCCGAACCAGCGAAACCCTGGGCCGCTGCAGCAAGGCACATAAACTTAACCACTCGGCCATGGGGCCGGCCCCTCAAATGGATATTTTAAAGTAAAGATTTATGCATGGGCTTCTGGGGTTCTAGTAGCCTTCCAAAATTACAGGCAACTGTATCAATCAGCCTTTGCTCTGTAACAAACCACCCCAAAACATAATGACTTAAAACATAAACTGTTTCTTTCATTCACAGTTCTGTGGGTCAACAACTTGAGCTGGAATCTCCTGATTGGGTCTCTGGGTCTGGCTGATTTTAGCTGGGCTCGGGCTCACTCACTGGTTGGTGGTCAGTTGCCAGGCTTATCTCTGCTCCGAGTGGTTTTTCATTCTCCAACCAGCTAGCTCAGGCTTATTCATGTGCAGCTGGTTACAGTGGACCTCAGAGAGTGGGCAGAAGTATTTACAAAGCCTCTTTCTAGCTATAAATTAAACTCAGTATTCTCTTAGTGTGGCTTGCATTCTATTCTGTTGACCAAAGCAAGTCAGGGTGGAGAAACAGAAGCTGCTCTTAATGGGACGAGCTGCAAAGTGTTGTGGCTGTTTCTGCAATCCGCTGTGCAACAGTATGTGTTTTTCCTGGGTAATGGTTGTGTAACTTTTATTACATTCTTAGAATATTAACTCCAAAGTTAAGAACCAATAATTTTAAGTGATTTCACTACTGAACAAAAAGATTTTTGGGGGACGTCATTGATGGGTAGGTTTGTTTGCACTGGGATAATCCTGACTTTTAGAGTGGTTCCTCTTGTTATGTGCTGTCTCGCACAGCTGCATTTCTGACTTCTGGACTAAGCTTGGAAAACAAGAACTGCTGTGTAGTGTATCAGTCAGCATCTACTGAGTAACAAAGCACCCCCATGTTTAGCGATCTAAACCACCGTTGATGTGACTCGTTCCATGGCTCAGCAGATAGGCTGACCTCATCTGGGCTCGTGTGTGTCTGCAGCCAGCTGCAGCTCAGCCTGGGGCTCTGATCTGGGGTTTGGCTGGTTGTCCTGATGGGGATATTTGGGTTACGTGTCTCTCACCACCCAGCACACTAGGCTGTGCTTGTTCACATGGTGTCAGCAGGGTTTCAAGAGAATGACCAAAAGCACGCAAGATCTCTTAAGGCCTAGCCTTGTCTCTGTGGGTCAGAGCAAGTCACACGCCAGCCCAGATTCACTCTGGGGGAAACAAACTCCAGCTCTGGCCAGGCGGAACTGCAGAAACATAGATGGGGATTCCAATGGGAAGATGGAGGATCATGGCCATTTTTGTAGTCTTTCTTTTTTTTTTTTTATTAATGTTATGATAGATTACAACCTTGTGAGATTTCAGTTGTACATTTTTGTTAGTCATGTTGTGGGTACACCACTTCCCCCTCTGTGCCCTCCCCCCACCCCCCCTTTTCCCTGGTAACCACCGATCAGATCTCCTTATCAATATACTAATTTCCACCTATGAGTGGAGTCATATAGAGTTCGTCTTTCTCTGACTGGCTTATTTCGCTTAACATAATACCCTCGAGGTCCATCCACGTTGTTGTGAATGGGCCAATTTTGTCTTGTTTTATGGCTGAGTAGTATTCCATTGTGTATATATACCACATCTTCTTTATCCAATCATCAGTTTCTGGGCATGTAGGCTGGTTCCACGTCTTGGCTATTGTAAATAATGCTGCCGATGAACACAGGGGTGCAACCGGACTCTTGGAGATTTCTGGATATCAGGTTCTTAGGATAGATACCCAGTAATGGGATGGGCTGGGTCATAGGGTATTTCTATTTTTAACTTTTTGAGAAATCTCCATACTGTTTTCCATAGTGGCTGTACCAGTTTGCATTCCCACCAACAGTGTATGAGGGTTCCTTTTTCTCCACAACCTCTCCAACATTTGTCACTCTTGGTTTTGGATGTTTTTGCCAATCTAACGGGTGTAAGGTGATATCTTAGTGTAGTTTTGATTTGCATTTCCCTGATGATTAGCGATGATGAACATCTTTTCATGTGTCTATTGGCCATATTCATATCTTCTTTTGAGAAATGTCTGTTCATGTCCTCTGCCCATTTATTGATCGGGTTGTTTGTTTTTTTGTTGTTAAGCAGTGTGAGTTCTTTGTATATTATGGAGATTAACCCTTTGTCGGATAAGTGGCTTGTGAATATTTTTTCCCAATTAGTGAGCTGTTTTTTTGTTTCAATCCTGTTTTCCCTTGCCTTGAAGAAGCTCTTTAGTCTGATGAAGTCCCATTTGTTTATTCTTTCTATTGTTTCCCTCAACTGAGGAGTTACAGTGTCCGAAAAGATTCTTTTGAACTGATGTCAAAGAGTGTACTGCCTATATTCTCTTCCAAAAGACTTATGTCTCAGGCCTAATCTTTAGGTCTTTGATCCATTTTGAGTTTATTTTGGTGTGTGGTGAAAAAGACTGGTCAATTTTCAATCTTTTGCATGTGGCTGTCCAGTTTTCCCAGCACCATTTGTTGAAGAGACTTTTTCTCCATTGTAGGCCCTCTGCTCCTTTGTCGAAGATTAGCTGCCCATAGATGTGTGGTTTTATCTCTGGGCTTTCAATTCTGTTCCATTGATCTGTGGACCTGTTTTTGTACCAGTACCATGCTGTTTTGATCACCGTAGCTTTGTAGTATGTTTTGAAATCGGGGATTGTGATTCCGCCGGCTTTGTTTTTCTTGCTCAGGATTGCTTTAGCAATTCGCGGTCTTTTGTTGCCGCATATGAATTTTAGGATTGTTTGTTCAATATCTGTGAAGAATGTTCTTGGGATTCTGATTGGGATAGCATTGAATCTGTATATTGCTTTAGGTAGTATGGACATTTTAACTATGTTTATTCTTCCAATCCATGTGCAAGGAATGTCTTTCCATCTCTTTATGTCATCATCAATTTCTTTCAAGAAAGTCTTCTAGTTTTCATTGTATAGATCCTTCACTTCCTTGGTTAAGTTTATCCCAAGGTATTTTATTCTTTTCGTTGTGATTGTGAATGGGATTGAGTTCTTGAGTTCTTTTTCTGTTAGTTCATTGTTAGTGTATAGAAATGCTACTGATTTATGCACTTTAATTTTATACCCTGCTACTTTGCTGTAGTTGTTGATTATTTCTAATAGTTTTTCTGTGGATTCTTTGGGGTTTTCTATATATAAGATCATGTCGTCTGCAAACAACGAGAGTTTTACTTCTTTGTTACCTATTTGGATTCCTTTTATTTCTTTTTCCTGCCGAATTGCTCTGGCCAGCACCTCCAGTACTATGTTGAATAGGAGTGGTGAAAGTGGGCACCCTTGTCTTGTTCCTGTCCTCAGAGGGGTGGCTTTCAGTTTTTGTCCATTGAGTATGATGTTGGCTGTGGGTCTATCATATATGGCCTTTATTATGTTGAGGTACTTTCCTTCCATACCCTTTTTGTAGTCTTTCTTGTCTTCTCTCTTCAAGTCATTCCTTCTCACACCTCAAATTTAAGTTAAATACTGTCTGGGTTCATATTTCTCCTACTAAATAGTAATACTGTGTGTGTCGTAATAGTAGTGTAAATAGTAGCAGAAAACCACACGTACATTTAAAACGACCTGCAATCCTTTTACCATTAATTGTTGATACCCACCCACCCCCCTTTACTACTGATTTTTTATATTCATGGAAATATTTTAAAGGTGTAAAGAAATTATGTTGATGTACTTTTCTAAAGGAAGTGATTCAATGTATTTACTACTTCCATTCCATTCTTCTTGTTGTCTAATCCAACCCACACTGGAGCCTGCAGTGCTTTTCTAAAAGGTTTGCCAACAGCCCTGTGTGTGATGAGGACACTTTGGGGACTTCTCAGTCATCCTCTTTAGCTTGGCGTCTGAGAGTCTCTGGGATGCGGCTCTGCCTGCCCTTCAGCTTTTATTTCCAGCCCGCTCTCCCTCAAGCCCTCTTCATTACAGGGAAGCCAAATGTCTTGCTGTTTCTTGAGCACATTTCCCTGCACCAGTGGTTCTCAACTGTCCAGAGGTATTTCCAGTTGTCGCAATGTGGGCAACGTGTCGCCACTGGCATCTTAGGTAGAGCCAGGGATGCTGTGAACCATCCCACAATGCACAGGAGAGCCCTCACAACAAAGAAATATCTGGCTGAGAAACCCTGCCCCACGTATTGTTGTCTCTGGGCCTTTTTTCATGCTGCCTCGTGCTGGAAGACCTTTCCGTCAGTGCCGCCTGTTGCAATGTCCCCTGTCCTTGAAAAGCCAGCTGAAATGCCAAGCCTTCTAGGAAACAGATCGGGCATGGTCCCCACCCCCACCCCACACTGTAGGCTCACAGAATCCTTTTTGTGAATCACTGAAATGCCCATCGCTTAGTACGTTTACAATAATTTGTATCCAGGACTCTTATGTTGTATTGTTCTTATTGTTCTGCCCTTGTATTTTAGTTAACTGTTTGTGTTTAGTTAACTCTTTAGCTGAACACGGCTTTCCTGGATGACAAGGACCCTATCTTATCTATCTTTGTTTCTCCTACAGGACCCACCATGTGCTTTACATATAGTAGGTGCATAATATCTGTTGAGTGAGTGAGAAATCTGTATCTTCCAATGTCCTTAGATGTAGTTACTCCTTGCAACAGTTTTCTTAAAGGATTTAGTCCAAAAAAAATCCAACAAGCTGAATCTGAATTTTTTTGTTTTTGCTTGTAATAATTTGTCAGAAATTGTGACAACAAATCATTGTCCAATGCAATTACTTGTGTTTATTTCTGCAGCTATTTAGTGAAAAAATAAGTGGCGTTGAAGGAACGAAACTAGATGACGAATTTCTTGACATGGAAAGGGTAAGAGAGCATTTTAATGTAAACTTTGTTACAAATTGACTTTTATTGCAATATGAGATATACTGATGCTGTAAAGGATATTAGAGTGGGAATCTAGAATGTTTGTATACACATGTGGATTATGGAATCCAGAAAGTGGTTCTTTGACACGTCAAGCCCAGTTAAAGACCCTTGATCATGAAGCAAGTGGGCTGTGCCTAACTGGTTCCCTCTAGTGGACAAAAGTCAGAAATGCTCAAAAGATAGTTCATCTCGTCCAACAGTTAGAAAGGCCAAAGGAATTGTGATTATGTATCTTGGAGAGTCAAAATGTGTCTCTGGGACGAGATGGATAAACTTTGATTCACTGTGTGGACAACTCTGACTCTGCTCGCATGTGTTGCAGCAGCTGTATAACAAGTGACTTTTGTCCTGGTTCTGCCACTAAAACTGGCTGTGTGAACTTGGGTAATGTTTCGTCTTTTCTGACCTGTGACCAAGGATGATAACGTGTGCCCTGCTTGCCTCACATGGATGTTGTGAGAATTACGCAGAAAACTAACATGTGTGAAAGTGTTTAGAAAAATGTGATGAGCTTGTTCCAGAAATGATTGTTAATGTGTTCCAAAGGAAGATTGTTGATGCTCTGTCCATTAACAGGGTCAGCTGTGTGGAGCTTAGGTGGAAGCAGAATTGGGACCACTAGTAATTACCAGCTTCCTCAGTTTCCTTCCCCTTTGTCTTGGGCCCTTGAAACATAGCCTTGTTTTAATAATTAGACTCCCCAGCTGAGAGAGGGCAGACAGAAAGCAAAGCTTCTGCCCTCAGGTGTATCCTGGAGGGTACAGGATATCACAGGTGGTAGAGCTGTCAGCAGATGCCGGGCAAGGAAGTCCAGCCCCAGGTTGTGCCTTGGGGGTTACTGTCTTTAGGTTAATCTGGCCCTGGCCACACTGTCCTCCAGGACGCTCCCTGGGGAAAGGTTATTTTTTTTTTTGCTTTTGAAAAAAGTTAGTTTCTGAAAACTGAAAAACGTAGAAACGTTTTACCATCATCAGCGTACCTGAAATTACTTTACAAAAATCTCTTGATATATGAAGATATTATGTGTAACTTTATTACCAGCAAGATGACTCAGTTGAAATGTTAAATTTAAAAGCACGTTTCAGGAATTGTCGTTTCAGTTGATGGACTGAGATCCTTCTTATTTACTTCCTTTCCCTCCAAAACTCCCAGGAGTGACAGAAGAAATATAAAAATAAGATATTTTATCTGTTTTATTGCATCTGTGAAAAGCATGGAAATATCTAATATGTGACAAGAAGTTTTAAGGAAGAGATGAGTTAGATGGTATCAGACCCACCTAAAATGTGACACAGAAATGACAAAGGTTTGGAGAAAGATGTTCCATGACAAACGCTAGCTAGACAAAAGTGGAGAAACAATAGTAATGTCAAAGTAAAATTTGATGCAAAAAAACGCTAAATGGAAAAAGAGGATTTAAAAAAATTATAGAAAGATGCAGTCATGTAGCATATCAGGAAATTATATCAGTTATGAACTGTTATGCACACATAGCAAGGCATCTAAATATGTGAGGTAAAAGCTATCAGAGGTACATGGAGAACTGACAAAAATCCGAGTGGAAATGTCACTTTACATGTCACTTTCATTGATTAACAGACTAACTTGACAATGATAGATAGGCTCATGAAGGATTTGCATGAAATATGGTTAATACCTTTGATTATAAGTAGATATAGACATCTGCATTTCTCAAATTGAGAATTCATATTCTTTTCAAATTCCTTTAGAACAATTACAACAATCAATCGTATATTGGGCTACAGAAGAAACTCAATAATTATTTCCCAAAGTAAGGTCATAGAACATAAGGATTACAAAGAAGGTATAGCTTCCAAATTCTGGGTTTTTGGAAATTTAAAAACGTGTAAAAATAATTCTTAATTTAAAGAGGAAATGAAAATTAAAATTAAAGAATATTTAATCATAAGAGAATTTTGTTTGTCAAACATGAGCTATACGGCTGTATCTTAAATGCACTTAATAGAAAATAAATGTTGGAAGGAAGTGAATAAATCATTCAAGGCAAGAAGCTGGAAAATAGTAAATTGAATCACTCTAGGTGGAAGGAAGAAATCATTACAGATAAATGAGAGATTAATAAAATAGAAAGCAATAACAACCAAAAGGTAGAACCAAGAAATAAAACCAGGAGCTATTTGTTTGAAAAGCCACTTCTACCAAGGGCGACCAAGAAATAAAAAAGGGGAAACACAAATAAATTACATAAGGAATAAGAAAGATATGATGACAGAGATGGATGCTTTACAAAATTTTTTAAGACAGTACTATGAACAGCCGTCAGACACCAGGGCTGCCAGCAGCTGTCCATCTTGGGCTGAAGCCTGGGGCTCAGTGGGACAGGTTTTGGGGCACCTGAGGGTCGGGTGCCAACACTAGGTGGAAATTCCAGATTTAATCAAGCAACAAAGGTACCTTCACACTAGGTAGACTTTACAAAACTAATTTTCACCTCTCTACTTTCCTCGATTTTTCCTGGTGGTTTCCTCATATTTGCATAGTATTTTGTTAACCTCACACACACACACACACACGCACGCACGCACCCTCATAATATCCCCAGCTATGCTAAGAGGGAGGTTTTGTTTTCCAACTGCATGAGTTATTTTGTCAATGTTCATCTTGACTGCCCATATTTGCCATTGTGTTTAGTGGTCATTCTCTTTAATTTGTAGAGTTTATTCCTGGTTTTGATTCCTGAGCTGTTCTGGGAGCAGCTCCAGTGGGCACATCAGGGCTTGTGAGTTTTGGCCATTTGTGTTTTTTTTTGGCTTTTTTCCCCCCAAAAGAGATAGAAGGATCTAAATAGAAAGTATCCCTTCCTCTACCTCCTGTCATTGTCACCCTTGAGTGATGACTCCTAGCTTCCTGGTGGCTTTTCGTGTCCTAAGAGGGTTGTATACTTGGAATGGAACATTCTAAGTTGTGTTTTAATTAATATTGAATTTATTAAAGTTGCAAATCTAAAACCTAGTTCTTAAGCTTTAAGCTGGACTTATGGGTCTTATTTTTAAATTTAGTAATTTCGGTATAAAAATGCTGATCATTTTTAGTTAATCTTCATTTTAGGTTCCGTTAAGTCATAAGCTTAACAGATGAAATCCTAAAGCATTTACCACCAGTTACTTAATTAAGCAAATTCCCTTAGACCTTTCAAACTACAATTATAAAGGTAATGCTTCGGATTCCCCTTAACTTCACATCAAATCTAAAGCAGGATTTTCCTAAGCACTTAAATTTCTTGTAACTCTGATAGAACATAAACATTTGTGTCGTCAGATTCTCGTAAACATTTCAAAGATCTTCGTAAACAACTGAACCCACTGAGGAGAGATCCAAGTTTACAGAACTTGTCTCTAGGCCAATGCACGTATACACACGTGCTCACACACACACAGCCAGCACGCCTGCCTCAGTAACGTAGACTTGATTCATTTCTTCATCATTTATGTGCTGTCTTTTTGTTTTTCCCCTTGATGAGGAAGATTAGCCCTGAGCTAACATCTGTGCCAGTCTTCCTCCAATTTTTCTATGTGGGATGTCTCCACAGCACGGCAGACGAGGGGAGCAGGTCCGTGCCCGGGATCCAAACCCAGAGAAACAGAGATCAGGGCACTTTAACCACTTGGCCGTGGGGCCGGCCCCTGTGCTGTCTTTTTAAACTTCCTAGGATCATGAATTTAGACATTCAGCTAAGGGGAACAAATACAATTTCAGGCTTGGTCGAAAGCTTCTGACTCTGACCAGATCATAGTTTTTTAAATTACAAAAATTAAATTTTCTGTATTATAAATCAGTCTGCAGCTTGATCTTTTCCTTAGCAGTGCACTGTGGGCGCCTTCCGCATGCATATGGATCTTCTTTATTTTTTTTTCCTCGTGACTAAAGGGTATTCCCTTGTTTGGATGTTTCACAATTTTGTTCAATCAGTCTCTCGTTGATTATAATTTAGGTTGTTTTCCATTTTTGATACTAAATAACGTGATCTAACATTTTTTTACATTTCTCGGTGAAAGTCCCTAGAAGGGTGACAGCTGGCACATTAATAGGCTCATTAGTAGGTACTTCCAAAAGGTTGTGTCATTTCGCACTCCTGTTGTATATGAATAGGCCCATTATTCCACACCCATATAACAACTAATATTGGGTATATAATCAATTAAACTTTTTTTTTTGGTCAATCTGGTGAGTGGAAAGTATCTCCTTTTAAGTGATAATTTTTCTAAATGTTTTGCCAAATGTTTGTAGGCAACTTGTATTTCTCCTCTTTTGTGGATGGCCAGTTTATGTTCTTGTCCTTTCTAGTTGGGTTTCTCTTTTTTTCTTTTTTAATGGGAGTTCCGAGTATTGTGGCTACTAACGTTTATCCTGTATACATTTTCCTGTCTGCTTGCCACTTTTGTCAAACTGTGTGTATTGTGTCTTCTTACTATTCAGTTTGTCATTTTATAGAGTCAGAAGTTTGGTCTTTTCATTTAAAGATGTTTGGGTTTGGGATCATGCTTTGAAAATCCTTCCCAGCCCAGTATCGTAAAATAGTCTCCGGTATAATTTAGTATTTTGTTTTTTGGTCCATATTTTAAATTTTCTTTGTGGTGTGAAATAGGAATCTAAGTTTATTATTACTTTGGCAAATTTTAACAAAAAAATTAAAATTGTGATGGGATTTGAATTAATTTTACGTGTTAATTTGAGGAGGATTTCCATCTTTCCAAATTAAATTTTCCATCTAGGAATGTGGCTTTTCAAAGAGGTATTGTGCATTTCTCATAATATTTATTCTTTATTATTACATATTTTTTATTGCTCTTATGAATGGGATCTCCTGTTCCTTTGCATTTTGTTTTGGGCTATTGTTGGTATAAAATGAAACCATCGAAATGTGCGTATTTAACTGTGTTGTATGTTTTCACATTCATTCTCTGGTTAAGCAACAGCCAGAATGTCCAGGAATGGTTTTGTGGAAGAAAAGATTCATTCTTAACCTGACAGGGCGGCCTTTGATGTCAGCATTTTCTGCCCACAGAACAAATGGATGTTATTTTGGTTATAATACATGTGATAGTGGGTCTTTTACTGCTGATTTACTGAGGTTGTTTCTCATGTGAATCGTTATTATGGCATCCTTATATAAGTACAGAAATTCAGGTTCACCCACCAGATAAGGAAAGTTTAGCTCTGAAATGTCTAGTCTTGAGAGACCTTCAGGTATGTCCCATAATCTAGTGGAGCATAATAACTTTTCCAGATTTTATAAATATTACATTAATATTCATTTTAATGTTAGGAAAAAGAAATTCATGTTCTCCAACATCATTAGGAGGAAGGAATGTCCCAAAAAGTGAGAAAATATTGCCTGAAAACAAATATTGTTGAAAATATTCATTTGATTAAAATCATTATAATGGTGTGTTAAGTATTAAATTAATGAAAATTACTTCTCTGTTTGTTTTTCTGTGAATTCATTGAGTTTGTCATTTACCAACATTTTTATGTTTTTTTTTTAAGAAAATAGATGTTACCAATAAAGCTGTTGCAGAAATTCTTTCCAAAGCCACAGAATATCTTCAGCCAAATCCAGGTAAAGTCAGAAGATGTCATGAAATATTCTATTGTCCGTTTGCTGTCATAGACTCTGATAAACGCCATGTTTTGTTGGCATGTGGTTGATGTGATCTAGAATCTAGAAACAGTGTCCTCTTGTTCAGATAATGAAATTTGGTTTTCTAAAGTTGAGTCTCCAGTGACTGAAGGTGGTCCCAGTGAATCCTGGCTAATGGGAGACAGAGCCGACACTTCTCTGAGCTGTGGTGACATTTTGGAGATGGGATCTTGGTCTTAGCAGCAAGGCACTGCTAAGCAGAGACGTTTTTTATGAGATGCTTCAGAGACCCACTAAACATTTTGTAAAAGTTTTCTCATTGTCATTTCCTCTTCTTCTTTAAAAAAAATTTCTCCCATCCTGTTCTAAAGGTGTATATTAATTTGAAATGACTTTCACTTCATGGCTCAAATGCTTAAGAAATGAGGTGTGATGAATATATGAGAAACGGCATAAGCAGGTCCAGGCTTTAATTCCCTTTAATTCCCAGGATAACAGCAGCATCCCTTGGCAGGTGTTCCTCGGTTGTAGATCGTAGAAACCAATAGAGGGCGTCCAAGCCTTGAATTCTGTGGATTTCCGAAACTGCCTTTACTTTTTAGGAATTTATTATTTGCAAGTAGTTACTGTGAGTCCCTTGGCTGTGGGAACCAGCACCGATTCACAGAATCTAGAAAGCAAAAATTGAAAAACGTAAAATTTATAAAATATTATCTCCAGGGAGGATGGTAGGTATAGAAATCTGTAGAACTGATTATAGTTTTAAAAACCATGATAAGATATCTCTTCCCTTTTCCTGATAAATCAGTCAACACATATAGCAGGTGCTTCCTCTAGGTGAGGGGCTCTCCTGGGTCCTGGGATATACTGTAAGTTAAACTGAGACCCCGCCTTCAAGGAACTGACATTGGAATGGGGTAAGGAGGTGTTGGCTAACAACGAAAGTGTCCAATTGGCCAGAGGCCTCTGGTTCTTCCTGGAGAAGAGGAAGCGAGAGTTGCAGCTTCTAATCCACTTTAATGGCCCTCACTCAGGCCTGTTACATCCCACATCCCACCCTGACAGTAGGAAAGAGGACCAGAGTGTGTGTGTGTGTTTGTGTGTGTACGTGTGTGTGTTTTTGGTGGAAGAGTAAAGACTGTGAGTCTGGGGACCAGAAGGATAAGTGCTTTGAGGCTGACGTGGGCAAGATTCAAAAGCCTGGCACTGTGTCTGAAGCCTTGCTACTCAAAGCGTGGTCCATGGACCAGCAGGATGAGCATCCTCTGAGAGACTGTGGGAAATGCCGAATCTTGGGCTCATCCTAGACTGGCTGAATCAAACTCTACATCTTAACAGCATCCTTGGATGGTTTTCATGAACATTACAGTTTGAGAAGCACTGGTCTAGAGTTCATTAAAATAAATATGCAATTATAAAAGTAAAAGAAAATAAAAGCTTACCCCTTTACTACCTAAAATTATCTCAAGCACCGCAAGCTAGTAAGTGATTCACGCTATAGCCTGTGGAATGAAATCCCGAATCCTTAGCTTGGTGTTCAATTCATAATCACTTTTCCCCATAAATATCTCCTGATTTGTCCTGTATTAATTTCTTCTTCTGTCAAACCAGCCCACTCTTTATCCGTTGGTTATATACCATATGCATTCTGTCTTCTACACCTTACCGACACTGTTTCTGCACTTTTTAGCGGCATCTTTCCATCTTTATTCAGCATATTGTTATATTTTCCTTTCCCTACACCACACCAAACTTTATTTGCATAATTACAGCTCGTATATTCTGCCTTCCAGTAATAGAGTGTGAGCTTCTTGAGGGTAGATACTGTCCTACGTCTCTCTGGAGTCCCGGCAATTAGCATGGTGTGTCACACAGAGCCAGGGTTAGTAAACACGCATTGCCTAAGTCCAAGAAAAGGAGGTCAGCATCAGTGGCTGCCCATCACTGCCCTAGAGACCAGGGAGCTGAGCAGCACCTGAGGGACCAGGAGCACAGACTTAGGTTCACTGTGAGGGCATCTGTCTCCTCCTGTTGGTTCTCTTTCCTAAGAGGAGTGGGCAGCAGCCCTCTGTCATAATGTTGAATATAATCAGTCCGAATAAATTCTTGGGGGCAGGGAGGGTGTTAATGACCAGCTGGTAGTTTGAAACATCCACCTCAGCAAGTCTATTCTTAGTTTACAGTTGGTCCCCAAGAACCAGGTGTTAGTGTCTGACTCAGCGTGTTAGCATCACAGGGTTCTGGAGTGTCTCGCTCTGTGTGTGTGTGTGTGTGTGGGGTTGTCATAGCCCAGGTTACTATCATTTGGAGTCAAGTCATGGAGCATGTGTGTAATTTCTGTTTCCCATCGTGGCAAACAATGTGCTTAGCACCCACTTTGGCAAAGAATCTAGAAAATCATATGAGAAATGAAGTAGGTCATGCACGGTCCTTTCGTGCCCCAGGTCCTCCTCCCGCATTTGGTCCAGGGTGACCTCGATTTCGCCAGCCACGTTTGTTAAATGCTATGTACCTGTCGCTCCACCTTGTCACTTGAAGGAATTACAAATGACAATGTTTTTAAGCATACAGAGCTAAGCTAGGAATGCTGAACACTGTATCGAAGATCCGAGGCCAGGTGAAAACCACCGGGTACCCTCAGACGGAAGGCTTGCTGGGCGACTGCATGCTGAAATACGGGAAGGAGCTCGGGGAAGCCTCTACCTTCGGTGAGTCCGCCGGTCGCCCAGAGAGCCGGGAAGGCCTCCTCTGCTGCTGTTAGGTTATGCACAAAACCTCCACTTAACAACCCTTATGATTTTTTCATATTACCAAGGGAATACGTGTTCCTGGCTGGCAGTTTAGAAAACAGAAGCAAGTAAAATGAAGGAAAATGCCAACATGACCCATAATCACACACCCAGTGATGGGCCAAGTTACACTGTTTGTTGCGTATCCTTCATACCTGTTGTTTGTTCTTATATATATTCACATACGCTTTAAAAAATTAAAATGGAGTTATGGTATATCTACACCCTTATGCCCTTTTGTAACCTGTTTTTCCCACTGACTATGTCATGATCCACAGCATAAAATAATACACCTTCTACCATATTGTTTTAAGGGTTGCAAAATATACCATGTATCATAGCTTTTTTCAGCCAATTTCATTTACTGGATATTTAGATTTCTTTTCTTTATGTAAAAAAAATTAACATAGCATTTATAATAACCATTTTCATCGGTAAATCTTTGGGGATCTCCAAGAATATGGTCTTAGATGAAATTCCTAGTCGTGAAATTGCTGTGTCACTAGGATGCCTAGTTTGCAGGTTTTTGAAACATATTCCCAAATGGCCCTCCAGGAAGGTTATGCCAATTTGACACATAGATTTTCTGGCACAATTACTGACTCTGGGAATTATCTTTTTGGTTTGCTTTTAAACAACCGGTCATTTGAGATGTAGCGTATGAAGAATATCTCAGTGCTGTTTTCACTTCCCTTTTCGGTTTATAGGTGAGGCAGATGTTTTATGTTTGTCATCATTTTTGTGAATTCTGTGTTAGAGTCCTTTGCCTGTGTTCCCTTTAAGGTCTCCATTTTTTTCCTTACTGGCTATGTCGTGAGCTCCTTACTTTATGAGCTCTTTTAACGGTCAAGATAGTTGCTCTCTGGCTGCCTTCTATATTGAAATTTTGCCCCATGTGGGCATTTACTTTCCGACCTTGAAGAAGGAGGTCATCGTAATGGAGAAACATTTTTGCTTTTTAAGTAATGAGGCCGGTTGGTCGTCCTTCCTTCCTTTGGCATCGTGTTTAGAAAAGTTCCACCCCACCACCCCACCGACCCCCACTAACTGTGTACATGTTTATTTATACTTTCTCTCGATTCGTTTTCTTTTCTTACCTTTAAATTTCCAAGCTCCTGAGTTTAATAGATGAGTATTGTGCAATAGGGTTCTAATTTTGTTTTCTCACAAGTAAACAGCTAGTTGTCCTAACTCGTTATTGAAAAGTTCATCCTTTCTCTGCCGATCAGAGGTAACCTTTTTGTTGTAGTAATTTATATTTCAAGTTTGTATCTGGTCTTTCTCTTCTGTTTTCTCTATCTGTACCCTGTTTTGATCAAGTGTCATGTTTCAAGTATTGTCATTTAAAAATATATTTTCATATATTTAACTAAAATTTCCCCTAGATACTATAAAAATTTCATGGATATACTCACCTGTTTTATTTTTCTGGGTGAAACTTAGAGTCATTTTAAGAACCCTCTACTAAAAACCAAAAAACTCATTAAATTTTGATAGAGATTACTTTAAATTAATAAATCAAATTGGCAGGGAATTGAATGTTAAGTCTTCTGGAAGAATTTGGCTTGTTTGCTGTTCATGTAGTGGTAACAACGCAGGATGTGGAAACTGAGAATTCAGTTATTCGGCCATAGGGATTCATTAAGGAAATTGGGGAGGGGAGGAATCTTTTGAAAACTTAAAAAGAAAAATCCAAGATGTTAAAACATTCATTAGTCACAGAGGATAACAGTACCCTTCAGAGCAGCCTAATGGGAGTTTTATTTTATTCCACGGAATAGAATAAACGAATGGGGACAAGATGGCCTGTTCCTTATCCTGAAGGCAGGCCAGGTGAGGGAACAGGTGAAACTGCCAGGCAGGCCCTGACCTCCCAGGACAGTCCTGCAGTGCACCTGGCCACGTGTCTGTGCAGGGGGCTTTGATGGGCTGACAATACAGTAGCTTCCTAGGTGCCCAGAGACTTAAGGGACCTCGTGTTAAGGAAGAGAGCTGGTGTCAGGAGGGCATCAGAACCTGTGCATCACTTGCTGTCCCGAGGAAGAGGCTGGGGCCACATGGTGGAACCTCCCTAAAGTGCAGAGACCTCAGTGGGTGAGGCTGAGCCCCACATCCTCATGGAATTGGAAGCACTGATCTTGGGCAAGGAGAGCAAATGTCAAATCCATGGCGGTGACAGCCGCTATTCAGAATGCCATCTTTGGCGTGTTCAAAGAAACGTATTTGGAAATGTTTCCATCAAAGCTAAATTAACCTACATTCTGGGGCGCGGGCACTGGTGGCAGGGTGAGTGGTGGGATCGGAAGTAACACCCTCCATTTCTGGCCATTTGGGCAGGAAAGAGTCCCCAGGCTGGGAAAGGACGCCTCATCTCCATCTCAGAATGATTTATAACCAGATTCTGGGGAGTTAGTTAAGGAAGCAGCCTTCTAGGAGGAATGAAGCTGCCAGGGGCCAAAATAGATGGAGTCCCATGGGGCCAGCTGTACTTTACAGTAATTGTTTCCACTTGTATTTTGCAAGGTCCTATAACATACCCTAACTAGCTTATTTCTTAAAAAAAAAAGATGAGGTGAGACGAGGTAGCAATCCCTGTTTTGCAGGCGAAGGAAGCATGCATGCCCTTGAGACTGGTAGGTGAAATAGCTTGAAGGTCAGAGTTTGTTGGAAAGGCAGATTCTTGGGTGGGACACTCAGGCCTTCAAGCCCGGGACTTGAGAGACCCCCAAGCTCTACGTTTTTACGCAATCAATTTGGAAAACCCCAAATACAGGAAAACTAGTTCAGGCTAGTGCAGCCCTTTCCGGAGATGGTGTTGAGGGAACCCACAGCCCTCCCTGTGCACAGCTACCGGGACCCCGCTTGCAAATGGTGATGGATTAGCTTGTGCCAAGATGCCAAGGCGTGATGCAGCAGAAGCCGCCCGTGGCTGCACACACCCAGCATGGCCGGCTGGGGCCTCTTTGCAAGGGCAGACCCCGCCCTCCTTGCTGAGAGGCTGTCCCCTGCGTGACACTGCCAGGCTTTCTCTGACATCAGAAAGGATAGGGAGTCTTAGGGCCATCTCAAGAATACCAGCAGCGGCCTCAAGGAGATCTGGCTGCTGGAAACTGAGATGAGGTTTTGTTCATTTATTTCTATTGTAATCTTTATTGGTTAGTACTTAGCCCCTGATGAACGAATCCTTTTATTGTTTACAAAGAGGGATTTTGTTTTTGAGCTTCTAAGGAACCCTTGGTGCCAGGTCGCAAAAGCTTCCTTTAAAAAACGGAGCTTTACCCCCATCTAGTGGCCAATGTGGTAAGTGCCTCGGTCTGCCAGCCACGGAATTTTCTTTTGTGTGGTTGGAAAGCGCAGACGGTAGAGAGGAAGATGGGGAAAACAGAAAGACTTTCTCTCTTTTTCTTTTTCTTTTTCTTTTTTTTATGAGTCAAGATTCAAAGGTCCCAGAGCAAGGACCTGGGTTACACACCATCGATCGTCTGCAAACTTTCGGGAAAGAATTCGATAAATATCACTGTTAACCTGGAGTGCTCTTTTTTTATTTGTATTTTCTATTCAAGGCAGTGCACTGATAGAAGTTGGTGAATCCATGAAGCTAATGGCTGAGGTGAAGGACTCTCTGGATATTAACGTAAAGCAAACGTTTATTGATCCACTTCAGTTGCTACAAGACAAAGATTTAAAAGAGATTGGGGTAAGTTTGCTAGGCTATAAATCTACCTGTTGATACTTAAAATGTTTCTATTTAAAATCATTAGGACGTTTCTGTAGGGACTCAGTGAAAGCATCATCTCCTTGTGGACAGCCAAATAACTCAGTTATGTTTATCTGGCTCCCTGGGAGAGAATACCGGGATCAATTAACCTTTTATTCTGCATGTTATTGAAGCCCGCTAGAAGCCAAACTAAAGATGCACATGTCCACAGCCATTTCTCACATAACAAAGTGATGCCACAACTTTGTAGTGGGTTTTTGATCATCAAAATCGTACCGTATTCGTTGCATCTTTTGGTACGTTGCACTAGTGGTCATTATTTTCCATTCCTTCTCAAAGCAATGAGTATCTAGGAATCAACGTTTCATGTTTGGAAAACCGTTAAAAGTGGCCTTCCAGAGCACTGTGGGAGCTTTCAGGGCCCTGGAGGTGGTCACATGCCGCTTGCTTGGTGCTGTTTTAGTGGATGTGCAAAAACTGCTTCGAGACTTCTGCTTGGCTGGGGACGGCTACTCTGGAGGGACGGCCTGCATTCAGACCTGCTTTGGGCACCTCTCATGGAGCTGCGCAGGAGACCCCCCGCTCCGGGTGCCTTCAGGAGTGATCTCCCTGCAGCCGGGCAGCTTGGGAGTAGTCAGAACCTTGGGGTCTCCTTTCCCTTTCTTCAGACACAGTGATTCTTTTTTTTTTTTTTTTTTTTTTGACACAGTGATTCTTGAAGTGTGGTCCCTGGACCAGCAGTGTCAGCATCATATGGTAGAAATGCAGATTCTTGGGCCCTATTCCAGACCTCCCGATGGGAAGTCCTGGATGCCTATATAGGCATTTAGGGTTTACACTGAAACAGAGGGTATGAAGGGGAATTCAGAAAGGTTGAATTACAAATGAAACCCACCATTCAGGAATGCCTGAACATCCTGCCCCCCCACCAACCTTCTGGGCCCCCTCACTCATGTCGCCCTCTTTCCCTTCCATCTCCGGGAAAGCTTTGTTCCTGCTACCCCCTCAGGCCAGTCCTCTGCTGGGCCCCAGGGTCCATCCCCCGTCACCTCCTCAGGGCCTTTGCCATGGCCGCCATCCTCTCTTCTGTATCTTCATTCTTCCCTTTCTATCTACTGGCTTCTTCCTGTTAAAATTTAAACACATTGACACAGCAGCCCTTGACTCTGGCTTCCCGTCTTGCCCCCTCCAGTCTGTTGTCCACTCCACAGCCAGAGCAATCTGCCTAAGATACAGACCCTTAGTAGCTGCCCACCGACATTGGAATAAAGATCCGAGGCCGGCCCGGTGGCGCAGCGGTTAAGTTTGCACCTTCCACTTCAGCGGCCCAGGGTTCCCCGTTCGGATCCCGGGTGTGGACATGGCACTGCTTGTCAAGCCATGCTGTGGTAGGCATCCCACATATAAAGTAGAGGAAGATGGGCACGGATGTTAGCTCAGAGCCAGTCTTCCTCAGCAAAAAGGGGAGGATTGGCAGCAGATGTTAGCTCAGAGCTAATCTTCTTCTTCAACAAAAAAAAATCCAATAGTAAAGTCCTTAATTCCCGCCCCCTCCTTCCCTCCATGCCAGATGGCTCAGCCTTTCCCCACGGGGACCCCTCTGCCCAGCCTCGCTGAATTACTTGTGTTCCCCAGGGGATGTGTTGCTTTGTGCTGTCTCTCTGTTCGTTGTCTTTCTCCTGTCCCTCCCTCTCCTGGCGAAGTCATCTCACTCTCCGCTCTCAGCTTAGAAGCTCTTTCCTTTGGGAAGCTCCTGTTCTCTCCCCGACTAGTCAGGTGCGCTTCTCTGCTGCCCTGTGCTGTGAGCATCGTGGCTTCTCCTTTTCTGTGGCTGAGCAGTAAGTGCCTCGGGAGAAGGAACTGTGCCTTGTTCACTTTTGTAGCCATGATGCCTGGCACGTGGTTTGTGCTCACAAATTACGATCGGGAGGATGAATCTAGAGAAGAAGTGACATTCTGGGTTGTGCAGATACCAAAACATCTTCCCCAAATGCAGAGCCTTAAACCACGTACCTCCTTTGCTAAATTACATAATAGACATATTTCTTCTTGGACTGTTGTCCCTGAAGAAAGCCATACAAAAAGTCCCCTGGAGGACATCGCTTTTCTACTTGACCTGCCTCGGTGGGGTAGCCAAGGACACGATTGTGGATCCTGAGCTGTGAGCTGGAGAAATGTGCAAAATACATGTATACTTAAAGGTTGCAATTCCCTATGCGACAAAATAACTTTCTAAGTGACATCTCTTGTTATTCAGCTGCCATTTGATATAGAAACTTGTAAATCTAAACTTAAACCATATACATCATGTGCCCCATATGATGTTTCAGTCAACAATGGACCACATATGTGATGGTGGTCCCGTAAGATCAGTACTGTACCATGCAGGTTTGTGTAAGTGCACTCTGTGATGTTTGCACAACAACGAAACTGCCTAGCAACATTTGTCAGAATACATCCCTGTCGTTAAGCAACACACGACTGTAATGATCAAGCGTTAGGAGTATGACATTCAGAAGACTTCACTGTCAGCGATGCTCTGTGTACCTCGGACATCAGGAGCAGGGAGCCTGTTCCTTTAACGCACAGCTGACTTAGACCTGTGAAGGGTCTTGCGGATTTGGAGGGCTCTTGCGAGCATTTCTTCACCCATAAGCAGCTAGGCTAGACATTCTGGTCCCCATTTTACAACCGCACAGAGGGGTTTAGAGACTTGCGCAGAGTCACAGAGCATGTAAGAGAGATGCTTCTGACTTTCTCTTCCATATGCCCTTTGCACCTACTCCTTATGGAAGGCAGAACCACTGCTTCCCGCTAGCATGATGGTGAAGCTACCCACATACTTCAGCGGGACGATCTGCTTTCATATGTATTTTCTATATCAAATATCTGTTTTCCAAGGGTTACAGTCATAAACTCTTAGGGGCCCCTCCCTTGCCCTGGACAGTTGTCTCCTCTACCGTATTTCTGACATGGGATCTCTCTGCTTGAACACAAACTGTGAAGGGGATTACTACCACACGTGACAGCCCATTCCATGCATGGACAGCTCTAATATTTATACTTGCTGTATATTTTAAAGCGATTCTATATTTTTAAAAGAAATTCCACCATTTGACAGGTTGCCTGTGAATATCTGTCCTCTGTGTGTATCACATTCATTCATGGCATTTTTTCAACTTATTCAATATAGTTGTTTGGGAACCTTATGGAAGATGAATACGTATTTTAGGGGGCACTAGAAATCTGCGTTTTTATACTCTGCTTCTTAGTGTGGCATTGACAGTAGTGCCAAAAGAAATGTCCCTATTTTTGGTATAGCTAATTTGGTTGGAAATTATCTGGACATCAGTAGAGCCGAAGTGAGGGGTTCTATAAGGAAGTTTGGAAAATAGAATCTGAGTACCGATCCTGGGACCTTATGCTCCCCGTAGACGCTCATTCATTCTGTCATCCATCCATCCATTCGTTCATTCCACCAGTGTTCCCTGAGGACCTTCAGCAAAGGGTCCAAACGTTGCCAAGTGTGCACAATAGAAATGTAAGGTGGGTTCCTGCCCCTAGAATTGAGGCCGACAGAAAGCAATGCCTATCTTCCTCGAAATCGCAAAGATCTTGGTGCCGCGTTTGAGGGGGACATTTCTCTGAGGGACCCCCTTGTCTCTTTCAGCACCACCTCAAGAAGCTGGAAGGCCGCCGCCTGGATTACGATTATAAAAAGAAGCGAGTAGGTAAGATACCAGACGAAGAAGTCAGACAAGCGGTAGAAAAATTTGAAGAGTCAAAGGAGTTGGCTGAAAGAAGCATGTTTAATTTTTTAGAAAATGATGTAAGTATTTAAACCAAACAGGAGACTTTAATGTGAATGAAAACATTGCCTGTGTGACTAGGATCCGCATGTTGACAAGCTCCGCACACTGACTTGTTACAGAGGTTTCCAGAATTTTCCGTAACCATTATCTCCTGCCTCACAGGTAGCTTCATCAAGTCCCAATCCAAACCCCACATCCGGGGAAGTCCTGTGTACCCCGGGGTTGCTTCAGAGGTGTGCTCCAGCCGGCGCAGGGAGGGGACGTCTCACTGTGGACCGGCAATTTGTGTTGAGGCCGTGGCATTTGCGGTTTTGCAGGAGGATGGAAAACGCGTGTCCCGTGGCACTTTGCAGTTTTCCTAAGACTGTGAACAGCTGTCCGTGAGGCGGGCGTTTGAGGGGGCCCTCCCTCATGACCCAGCCCTCTGAGGCCTTCACCTGTCATAGTGAACATTCAGGATGTAAGGGCGGGACCTAGCTTTTTCAGCTGTACTGTGGCGGTGCTTGTGAACTCGAGGAGTGTGGAGGTCTTGAGACGCATCCCCCCAAAATGCTAATATTCTATTACACTGTCATTCTTGCCACCAGCTTTTATTTTGGTTGTCCTTGTGAAATCTGACTAAATAGAACGAAAGGGGATGGGAGCCCCAGCTCGGCAGCATGGCGGCCAAAGGCTGCCTTCTTTGCCGTGGTAACGAAGAGTCCTTTGGCATTTGTGCCTGGCTGGAAGAGCATCGCCACCTTCCTCCCTCCGGAGTCCCTGCCCCGAGCCCGGCCTCGGGGATGCCATGAGCCGTGTCAGCCCGGCATTTGCTTTGGACCTGTCTGTTGAACTTCCAAACCTGTGAAGACAGATTGGGGCATTTATTTATCTGCAAAACCATGTTCTACTTATAATAGTTTTTTCAAAGGTACATTGAGGTCTTGCTTCTTTTGAGTCAGGTCACACAAAACGTGCTGAAGATCTTTTGTCTGCCACAGTGACATGGGGGGGAATTGTGTCCATTGTTGACAAGACATTCATCCCGGAGAAACCCATTTGAAAATACCCACGTCCATTAAACTTGCATGCTGAAAAGTACGCTCTGTTCTGTTTCTCCTTTTAAATAGTTTATCAGGTTTTTTACATTTTTACAGGAAATGGGAAGAGGTGTAACAATGTGCTCTGTTTTTCTTGTTTTCCCTTAAAAATATAAATCTCCTCTTGAAATTGTCCCCAAGTAATGGGCACTTTGGTGTTGTTTTGTCTAAGATTGCCGTTTTTAATTTTTTGAAGTATTTAGAACTTGTTTTTGAAGGATGACGTGTGTCTGATGCCTGTCTCCCTTATCCGGCTGTAGCGAGCGGTGCCCAGCCAGCCCCACGGCCCTAAGGTTGAATCTTGTGTGTCCGACGTGCTACCTTCATTCATGGGCTGTGATGATGGGTTTTTACAAAGTACTCCATCAGGAGGCTTGTCTCAGTTGCTCTGGCCTTGGCAGTTGACCCAGAAAAACCTCAATTTTCCCCTCGGTATCAGTCAAAAGTCAGAAACGAGCCCTTCCTTATAAACCTCAGTCATTTGTCTATTCGTTGACAGTATTCCGCTCGTCACAAATGAGTTAACCCCCTCCCATCCCTTCCAGGCAGAAGTAAGAGCTAGTTCTTGACTCGAGCCCCATAGGGCTCCTGCGGTCCCTGCAGAGGCATGAGTGCCAGTGATTCTCCTAAGGTGTCCCGGGGTGGGTGGCTGCCCCTCTTCAGCTCTGGGGAGCTGGGCTGCTCCCTGAGTCCGGGGCCTGGGTCCACACCTCCACCGCCCCCTGCTCTGGCTGGTATCAGGATGGCCTTGGTGTTTCTGCCCAATTCTTTGCCATCTGCCCATGGAAACCAGCCCCTGAGATGGGAGGGGACCAAAATGATGAACGGGTGACGGTGATGGCCTCTGCAGGCTGCCTTGGAACCTGGCTCCTTCTCTTTCTCTTCCCTCCTCTCCTGGTGCTGGCTTGAGTTGCAGCGCTGTCACCCTGTGCGATGTGGCTGCCGATGCTTGCAAGAATGATGACAGTGGTGCTGAAGAGGTTGGTGGTGATGATGACAGTGACATGAGCTACCATTTGCTGAGCACCCCTTGACAGAGAGGCTGGGGGTGCTGGTGGTGGCCGCTCCGTCATGGCACACTGCTTTTACCTTTTCCCAGGCCCAGGATTATAGCAGAGGAGACTCATAAAGTTACTGTGTCAACTCCAGGAGACCGCCTTTGTTCTCTTCTTGGGGCAACAGCAGTTAGACCTAGAAGGGGACTGCTTTGTCCTTTTCCATGTCAGTGTACCTGGGCCCTATCCAGGTGGTCTGGCAGCCCTGTTGACGAGGCAGGGTATTAAAACTCTTCTCCAGTTCACCCCTTGGACTGGTCATGCGAATGCCGAAATTGCCTGCTGCTGGAAGACAAACAGTAGGTGTGATCTGTTGGGGTAGAGACAAAGCACTGACCCATGGTGGGGAGGGGCACACATTGCACCCTCAGCCCTGTCCTTGGCCCTTCTTCAGTGACCAGGCCAGGCCCGGTGGCCCTGCAGCCCGCAGGACCCTGACTTCTTGCTCCCTCTGGATCACCAACCTCATGTCCAGCCTTTGTCACTCAGCCCCGTGTATCCATGTCTGCTTCCTTTTGTGATGGGGAAGCTCAGAATGAGGAACTGTGCTTCAAGACGGCTGGTGACGGCTGGGTTTTCTTCCAGGAACTGACCCTGGAACTAAAGATAACTGGGATCTGTCTAAATCCCAAGTTAGACCCAGGGGGTCTGCAGGCCCTGCCTTTGCCCTATGGATTGGAAAGTGCTCTGACCTGACCTGGCCTCTCTTGGAGGACAGGCGCCTGCTGCTTCTTGAGAACAATACTCTGTCATGCATGTGGCCTTAGGGGACAGGATAGTAGGTAGCAGAGGCCCTGGCACTTCCTCCAGACACAGTGGGAAATGCTTATACTATTGTGGGTTAGAGGTTTGGGGTGTCTGTCATAGCTGGTCACTCTTTGGGTTCTGACTAATTGAGGAACTGACACAGATGCCAGGTTGGAATCAAGGCGCAGCCCTTTTACCTGATGAGAACACCCTGTAATGGCAACGTAGAGGCCTTCTGGTCAGCTGTGTTGCGGTTTGTGACATGAGCCTACCCGTGTCCAGAGAACACTTTCTACTCCTTGCGCCCTCAGTTGATAGAAGCTGCTCCAGTGTGAACTGACCTGACTCACCCCCGAGACACAGTCTGACACTTGTGGCACCTGGCCCTGCAGAGCCAGTTTTTGAGGCAGAGTAACCTGTCTTCCTGATTAAGGAACCTCCTCCAATCTCATCCACAGGAGGAGGAGTGAAGAGGGTCTGGAGGGAGGGCCTGGAGGTGCTCACTCCAAAGAGAGAGTGAACGAGCAGAGTGGTGTGAATGAAGGGAGACCATCGGGGTGGTGTGTCTGGTGCCACCTACCCATCCTGTCTGGCACTAGCAATTCAAACCCCAAAGTCTTACTCTCCAGGGAACAGGGAGCGTCTTCTCCAGCCCTCGTGTCCTACAGCCCTGGCCAAGACACAAGAAAAGCTCCACCAGGTAACGCCTGAAAGCTTCTTTGCCAAAGACCTGCCTGATTGGAGGAGACTGGAAAGGACAGACTTGGTCTTTCTTGGGTCTCCAGATGCAGACTGTGCAACTCTTCCTAGGATTTTCTGGCCAACAGGCGGTTTGTAGGGTTTTCTGGGATGTGATTGGTCGTCGGTCCCCACATCTGCATTCTCCTAACTGAGAACAGCAAGGGCAGCCAAAAGAGGGTCACATCTAGCCCCTTGCCCAGAGGACAGGGCTCTCTGGAAAACCATGTGGGCAGGGGCAGCCTGGGCCTGGAGCCACAGTGGGACTCCAGCCACCAACCCCAGGCCTGAAGTCCAGACCTAGACCACAGGAAGAGTGAGGTGGCAGAGCAGAAAGCCCAATGCACGCATGATCTCTTGGCCACTTCACAAACCCACTTTCTTAAAGCATACAGACCCCAGAGCCAGACCCCTATTGCCTTTTCATTGCAGGATCCAGACACCCTGGTTGTCAGGACCCCTGACCTCATCAGTCAGATAGGGCACTCCTCCCCCTGGGTATGGAAAGAAGGAGGGGGTGGTGCAAGGGACCTGAATTGTTCGCTCCAACATTCGTAAGGAACAGTGGCATCTATTTTCTTATCTAATTTTGGCAGAGTTGGCAATGGGAGAATCAAAGAGAAGACCCTTTTGGTCCCACACTGTGGTCCTTGGTTGTCTTCAGTAAAAGCTGGATTGGAGACCTTGAGCATCACTTCACTTCTGGCTCGAGGCTGGCTGAGTAGCTTCATTGTTCTAGACACGATGCAAGCCAGGAGGTGTTTTGGTCCACTAGCTTTCCCAGGAGCCCAGAGGTGCGGGCCTGTGGCTGATTTCTTCTGCCATGCCAGGCTGGGACTGGTGGGGCTGCCAGAAGCACTCAGGGCAGCCCTCCCCTAAGAGAAGGGCCCCTGTGCCCACCACAATTAGCTCTGAGGTGGGGGTGCAGGAAATTCAGCAGGTTGGTTCCCAGCCTCCACTGCCATTTCTTGGGAATGGCAAATCACCCATAGGTTGTTAACACTCTCCTCTTCTGTCTTTGCAGAGGAGTTTCTTCCTCACAACTCGACGTTGTGGAATGTAGGCCTTTGACATGGGCAGGAGTCAAAGCCATCATGTAGAAGATGCTCTTGTCAGTTGGGGGAGGCCAGGCACCTGCACTAACTCTCTCACTCTCTTGGTACGAACCCCCAGCCTGGGGATTCTTCCTCCGTCTTTGGGCTCCCAGGACAGGTGGAATTACTAGATTCCACATTCCTGGGTTCTTTCCATCCGTTTAGAGTGGTGTTTCCAAAAATTCATTCTATGGGATGTCATGTGTGTTGCATTAATAATGTCTCTATGGTCAAATAAGTTTGGGAAACCCTGGGTTAAGCAAAACCAAAGAGGTTTTTTTTATCACAAGACTTTTCAGAGTCTTTATATGATAATATGAAAAGTTAATCTCTAAGAGATTCTTAAGAAAGGATACACTAGGCAGTTTCTCAAACTTATTTGACCATAAAGCTCTTCTGCACCACGATTATTATTATTATTAGTTGTTGTTGTTATTGTTATTATTTGACACTTAATAATATTAATTTAATTCCCACACTCAAACTTTCTCAGAAACTCTGATTACGGGCCTTTGCCCTATTGGAAAAGGCGTCTGTCATGACCAGACTGAAGATCCATGAGAAAGTTTCCTCTAGCTTCTCTGAGGAATCCAGAAAGAGTGGAGGTCTTTGATAGAATAGAGCAAGAAGTCACCTGGATTATCACCCCTGACACTGAAGATGGCCTCCAGGGAATGTCTCATGTCAGTTGTGAAAGGGGACGGCTCATGATGTTCCAGAAGATGTGCGTTTCCTTATTCGTGCATGCCTGGCCCAGTGCGGATTCCAGGGATCTGGGCCAGGCCTTACCCATGCCCATCACCGTCCTCCCTCTCTTTTCAACCTGGTCTTCAGAGTCTGCCTCTCTCTGCCCACTTACCTGGCGACTAACCAGTGCCTTGGTAACTGACTGTAGAGTGGGCTCACAGCCCTTCTCCTTTCTCGGCTAGCCCGGTTTCCATCTCCATCCTGCAGAGAGTTGATTTTAGAGGGCCCTTGCTGTGATATGTGGTCCTTTGAGCCACTCTTCCTTTGGGTACAGCCCACATCCTTTGCAGTTGGTCCACAGCTACCCTAAAGGCTCAGATCCCACTCAGGTGTCCCTGGGGTTTCCAAAGCTCCTGGGAACTTCTCGTCCTCTTAGTCCACAATAGTATGGGAACATCTATCCTCGCCTTCCATCCCCAGGGCTAAGATACTCCCGATAGCCTGATATGCTTGTAATCATCCACTGGTTTGCAGCTAAAGAGAGAGTTTGGAATTAGAATGCGCCCACAGGTGACACACAGCCTGTTGTGCAGTGTGAGAGGTCTGCCATGGGAGATACATTGAGTCCATCCCTGTTATCATGTTGTCCCCTGGAAAGAGAGCAAGGAACCATGGTGTAGGGCTGAATTAGTAGTGAAGCCCCCAGGCCCAGCCACAATGGGTTCATCATCCCCATGTTTGGTTTGGTTTGGTTCCTGAGTCTCAAGGCAACAACTCCCATCCCCCGTAAACAGGGGGCCACAAATGGTGTGGCTTAGAACAACGCATGTTTGTTATCTTACAGACTGGAGGTCAGAAGTCCTAAAATCAAGGTCTTGGCAGGGGCTGCATTTCTCCTGTAGGCTGTAAGGGAAGAATCCATTTCTTGGCCTTTTCTAGCTTCTAGAGGCTGCCTGCCTTCCTGGGCTCACAGCCTTTTCCTCTATCTTCAGAGCCAGCAGCGAGGCATCTGCAATCTCCCTCACTCTGACTCTGCTTCCATTGACACATCTCCTTCTCCCACTGTAACCCTTCTGCTTTCCTCTGAAAGAACCTCTGATTATATCGGGCCCACCTGGATCATCCAGGTCATCTCCTATGACAAGATCCTTAGCTGAAACCCATCTGCAAAGTCCCTTTTACCATCTAAGGTAACATCTTCACAGATTTGGAGAAATAGGACTTGCACATCTTTAGGACCCATCTTCTGTCTACCACAAGCTCCTCCTCGTTTTATGGCTCTGTGAATCTCCCAGGTAGCTTCATAGTTGTCACCCTACCCATTTGTCACCCCCATTGCCTGTTTATGGCCTGGCCCCCTTCGCCTCTCATCTGTGGGGAAGTCTGTTTGCAGTATGAGCATCTCACTTCAGACCTATGGGCTGCGTGGCTCTATCTGAACCTGCTAGTGCACTTTATCATCAGAGAGGGAGTTAATTCTCTGGTGATTCTGTTCCTCTGTGTAGGTCCTGTGAACCTGCCCATAGGGCAAGGTCACACTTTCCTCTCAAGATGGCGCCAGCAAAGTGGCAGCCCAGGGCTCAGCCAGAAGTAGAATCAAGCCTTTCTTCTCATCCCAGGTGACCTTCCCTCCTTCAACAGGTGGATTTGCCAGTTTGGGTGATGTGGCTGGTGGAAGAAATGCTTTGCCTTCTGGGCAAGTTTTGGCTCTTGCAAGGCCTGGGTTTGCTGCTCCCTTGGCTTTGCCTGTCCAGGTGTTTAATCTAGTTGTGGTTTGGGAAGTAGAGGCCACCTGCACACAGCTCGCTGCTCATGGCCCAGGACATGCTGGGACAGCTGGACGCCTCTGTTGTCTGGCGCCACGTGGCTTCAATGTCAACAAGAGCCCCACAGCTTAGTAGCCACCTCTTCGGTAGTTGCAGTGAGCTGCTACTGTTTACATGCATTGTGCAGCTGCTGTTGTCTCCTAGGTTTTAAGGGGTCCTGGGATCCATTTCCTTCCTGAAGTCAGCCATCAAATGAATAATTACAGATGCATCTCTCCGTTACATAATCTTGTATTTTAGCCACTTTAGAGTGGATCGCTCGTGATCTCCCCACAACCCCTTGCAACCCCGTGTATGTTTCCAGAAATATTCCTTTAGCTATCTGTCACTGTTCCTTTAAAAATTATAAAATGTCAAGCATTTTTCAAAGTCAGTATTAAAATGGAAATTGACTTTACTAAACACAGAGAGATGTGGCCTGGGTTTTAGCCAGCAGGCAGCTCTAGCGCTCTAAAGAAGACATTCCTTTCTGGACTGGGTTCTACCGTGATCATGTTAGGCCGTGGCGCTGGGCTTGTTTAAAAGTATGTGGAAAAGCCAAAGAGGCGAAACTTAAGAAATCCTTGGGATTTTGTAGGGACCAGGCTGTCTTTGTTTTGTTTTGTTGGGTTTTTTGGAAATTTAAAGCTTGGCTTGTGCTTTTCCAGCCACGGAGCGTGGTAAAGAAACGTAATACAGTGGGATTTCATTGTTCAGATGCTGATCCCAGTGTGGCATGAGTGGAATTCCGTGTATGTCTTAAACGCGTGATGAACCCATGCTTAAAATGGTCTAAGTGGGTAAGGAAAATGAAGGTATAGGTAGCGAAAGAATGGCTTGTAGCAACAAATGGAAACAGCTTGGATCTTTGAAGACAAATGAGTCCACAGTGGGTTTTGCACAGCGAGTGTGTGTGGGGGAATAAACGAGGCAGATTGTGGCCTAAAGCTGATTAGCAAATGAAGTGAGGAAATGATGCTTGGGTCTTGGGGAAGCTTGGGGAAAAGGGGACTTGAGTTTGATTTGTGTCTGTCTGCATCTGGAGTCATGGGCTTCATCCTGGGGGCCCCCATCGCCTCCATCCTGTGGTCCTGCCTCTGGGGCTTGTCAAAATCGCCTTAATGAAGCCCTCTTTTCTGTTGCAGCCACTCAGACACGGGGGGAGGCGGGTCAGCTCAGGCCTACTGGACACTTCTCTTCCTCAAATCGTGCTTCCCCGGGTTTTCCAGGCTTTTTTATTTTTTCACGTCCATTGTAATTTGGTCACGAGTTTCATGAATGTCTTGATTCATGGGAAGGAGCGATGCCAGAGTCTTTCTAGCTGTGTCCTTCAGGGACGTGCTTTTGTGCCGATAACAACAGAAGCTTATAGGGGGCCGGCAAGTCTTTGCCCCAGCTTCCCTTCTTATCTGAGAGCGGCTTAATTTCCTTAGTCTCTTGATTTGACTTAGCTACAAAGCGCCCACAGAGACACTTCACTAAGGAAGCAGTTCATTTACTAAATGTTGGCTTCACTTGTAATTGGAAAAGCTTTATCTCTTCATTTTCAGATCCATGAACTTTATAGCATAAAAATCTCCCGAGAATATCGTCTAATTGGAAAAACAGGCATTTTATTGAGTTAAATACAAGTCATAATCACGAATAAACTTGAACACGTCTTTACAGCCCGTATAGCTCTGTATCATGACCTGTGTGATCATTACGCAGGGCGCCGAGATGAAATTAAATGAAATGGACCAGAGCCGAGGCAGACACGGGGCTTCCTTGCAAAGCTAGGTCTTTGTTACCGGTCTCCTCTGTCTGAACGTTATGTAGGCTCTGGCCTCCGTGGAGTAATTTTCCACTTCTGCTGCAGGTAGAACAAGTCAGCCAGCTGGCCGCGTTTATAGAAGCAGCGTTAGACTATCACAAACAGTCCACAGAGATCCTGCAGGAGCTGCACAGCAAACTACAGATACGGTAAGAGCCTTCTCGCTCATTACAAGCCCAGCGTGGCAGAGTTGACATCACTTGAAATCAGTCTGTCTGTCTGTCTCTCCGTCCCCCCCCATTCCCACCGCCCTGTTCTGTTTTGAATTTTCCTTAGCTGGCTTTCATGGTTGGGTGTGGGGTAGTATTGAGATGATAAATACGTGGCTCTGGCCAGTGGGACACGACTGGGAAAAGGGAGCTGGCAGCTCTCCTTTTTCTTTTCACTAGAGCCCTTTTTTGTGACCCGTGTTTAGGGCAACCAGACAAAGTCGCTCACCCGCCTTGAGTTCAGCCTCTCCAGAGCCAGCTTGGCTTCATTACTGAATTGATGGGCGTTTAGTTCCCCATTTACAACCTGGGGGTGGTGAGGGCCTAGCCCTCCTCCCACCATCGAGGGATGGGGAGAAGAGTGAGATGATATTCAGAAAGTATCTAAGTATCTTGAAAAAGATGTGTTTTAACTTCATCAGTCTAACTATCAGGCCATGTTCATAATATTGACTCTGAGAGGTATTAAAAGAGTCAAAAATACCTTCTGAGCGATCAGAGAAAGATTGCTGAGTTCCTTCAACTTTAATAATAGATCTATTCTATGCTTTTCTGAAAATTAGTGATGTCGCATGCAGTATGTACGGTAACCCTATTAATTAAAATATTGGGTTAAAAAAACTACCCTTTTGACCAGGTTTGATAATAGAACATTGTTTTACACAGGATCATGATAATGAGTAAATTTGGAGGGGTTTTTGCTTAGATCAGTGCTGTAATTATAGAGGGAAGACAAAGGTGTGTCCAGTCTCTGAAGCATCCACTTCTGGAGGCAGGTGGTTCATCTAGAGCTCACATAAGCTTGTTAATGATCCTGTTTCTACAAGAGGAGAGAGAGAGAAGGCGGCTGACATCGTTGAGCGCCCGGTACATCCCTGGCACTAGCTAGATGCCTCGGAGACTTTTTGAGAGACAAACACTTTTCAAATAGATAGTTGAAAAACTGCGTTTGGGGTATCACATCTTTCCTTTTGGGCTACCCAAGAGTCAATGTGTGAAAACCATCCCCTTCAATGACCACCACCTGCCCCCCGAAGGTGGCGGGCTCACTGGGGCAGAGTAATTGTGTGTCTCGAGGCTTTGCTTCGTTCATCGGATGGCTGACGACTCTGAAAACGTGTGTTACAGAATAACGGCTGCTTCCAATCTCCCTAAACGAGAATACAAGCCACGGCCCATAAAGAGGAGTCCTAGTGAGCTCAATGGGGTGTCCGCCACGTCTTCAACAAAGACAACAGGTGAGATGACTGTTCTGTGGGTGCTGAGGGTGCCAACCGTCAGGAATTTCTGGGAGCATCCCCTGAGTGCGCCTTGCTGTATTCCGAGTGAATGCGCTGAGACCCTGAATTTCTTTCTTTGGTTGTTTGGTGAATCCCTTTTTCTCCAATAACGCTCCTTTTCACACTCCCTGGTTTCAGGTACTTATATCAATTTTTGAAAACCAGCACCAGGAAGAGTTCTGTCAGTTTACTTATTGCCTTCTAATGTGTTCAACCTCGGCCCTAGAGCCAGGCAGCTCTGTGAGCCTTTACGTTTAAATTTTTAACTCTTTCAAAATATTTTAATGATTTTTTTTTACAGTTCGAATTAGCGTTTGTTGAGCACCTGCTGTATATTAGGCACTGTCTTAAGCGCCGCATTGTTATTTTTTAATTAGACAGTTGACACAAAGATATTCTTGAATAAAACAGTCACACTGAGAAAAACGACATCCGAGTAGTATAAATCGTGCTGTATTTCCTGGGATCCGTACTCCATCCCAGTCTCCCCTCTAGGCGGAAACACTGTTAACAATTTCATATGAACAGACATATCTATTTCTGTGCATACATATGTACACCATATACGTACAATTTTAGACTATTTTCTGTTTTTTAAGTACAAGCTCGTACTAGATTCCACAGCTCGCTTTTGTAAATGTGTCCCTATTTCTTGGAGTTATTTCCGTGTCATGCATGTGGATCGATCCTACTATTTTTAATGGCTTCATAGTTTTTTATTATGTGTCCTATTTCCCTATTAATGGACATTAAGACTATTTCCAGTTACTTGCTGAAAGGAATATCCTGTCTGCCTCCATATGCTGATGGGCGAGTCTTTCTGCTGAGTTAGAGTGGATGCAAATTTTCAGTGATAATAGATACTGCCAAATTACCCTCGAAAATGGCTGCACTACCGTGAATGGAGGAATGCCTGCTTTCCTCATACCTGTGTCATTAGAGATCAGTTTTTGCTGAGCATTTGTGGGTAAAAATGGCGTCCAATCTGACTTGCTTTTTGTGATTACTAGTGAGATTGAACATTTTTTTCTATATTTTAAATTGCCATTTGTATCTTCTCATGTATGAATTACCTATTCATGTAATTTTTTCATTTTTCCTTTGGGTGATTTACTTTGTCTTATTGATTCATAAGAATTCTTTACATGTGGGGTTTCAGTAGTTTTTCCCTCAATTTACTGTTGAAGTTTTCGAGTTCTTTATGTATTCCGAATACAAGTCCTTTGACATATATGCAGCTTGCAAATACTTTCTTTCACTCTGTATCTTCTTTTTATTCTCTTAACAGGGTTTTAGTTTTTATTTTTAAATTTTTTTTTTTAAAGATTGGCACCTGAGCTAACAACTGTCACCAATCTTTTTTTTTTTTCTGCTTTTTTTCTCCCCAGATCCCCCAAGTACATAGTTGTATATTTTAGTTGTGGGTCCTTCTAGTTGTGGCATGTGGGACACCACCTCAAGGTGGCCTGATGAGCGGTGCCATGTCTGTGCCCAGGATCCAAACCGGCAAAACTCCGGGCCGCCGAAGCAGAGCACATGAACTTACCCACTTGGCCACGGGGCCGGCCCCTTTACAGGGTTTTAGACAGATCAAAAGTTTTTAATTTTGGTGAAGTCCTATTTACCAATTTTTCCTTTTAAGATCATGCTTTTGATGTGAAATCTGGGAATTCTTTGTCTAGCCATAGATCCTGAAGACTTTCTCCATGTTTTTTCCTAGAAGTTTTACACTTTTACATTTTGCATTTAAGTCCATGATCCATTTTGAGTTAATTTTGGTATAAATGTGGGACTTCGGTTGAAGTTCACTTGGCCCATGGATTTTAGATTGGTCCTCTGTAACACACAGTGCCGATATAAGCTGGGGAGTCTGAATTTTCTCCCAACCCTATCGCTATCCTTTAAGATGCTTTTTTCAATTAAAAATAAAAATGATCAGAATAATATGCTTTAAATATATAGTTATAAAAAGAAAATGGTACTACAAAGTTTTTCATGAGTCATAGCGGTCTCCCGTTCTACTCCTCTCCCCGTCTTTGTTTCCTCCTCTCAGAGGAAGCCACCTTCAGCTCTTTTAGTCATTTCTTTAGTATTTAGCTCCATTGTTCTAAATAATATATTGCTGTCTCTTAACTTTTTGGTTTGGGATAATGTCCGTTGATTTCCTGATATGGAAGATGAGGATTTAACTTCCTGTCCTTCAGTTTCCCATAAGAAAGTTTCCCTTTCTCTCACCCTTCCAATTTACTTACAGTCACTACTTTTGTTGAAAAACATTCACTGTGTAACCGTCACTTTGATCATGCTGGACTCTTAAAATGCCTTTTTTCCCCACCCACTGCTGCTATTTTAAATGCAGTTGCCTCTACCTGTGGATGAAGATGTGGGCAGGCCTGGTGACTTTTCTGGTCAGTCTCGGATAACATCAGTTCTGCGGTCACTCGAGGGTGCAAGTGCAGGTTCACGCAGTAGTCAGAACGCTAAGTCAAAGCTCCATCGTGATTTAAAGTTGAGCTGCTTCTCCCCAAGCCCTGGCTTGTTGTAGTGGGAAGACCGGTGTCAGGGGAAGGGCTGTGTCTGACTGCTTCTCTCTTTCTCCATCTAGCACTTCTGTATTTTTTTTCTTCCCCAGTTTTATTGAGATATAATTGACATATAACATTGTATTAATTTAAGGTGTACAAAACAATGATTTGATATATGTATGTATTGTGAAATGCTTACCACTACCACTTCCGTTCTTAAAGCTCCAGAGAATGTGTTTCAAGCTCCCTGAGAGGTCTTTTAAAAGTCTCTCTCTTTTGATTTGATGAGAAATAGAAAGAACCTAACACTTGCCCTTCCTCCGTCCTCTCTCCAAAAATGTCTCTACAAATTTTTCCTGATCTCATCTCCTGACCTGTTTATGGCATTGGTGTGAGTTGGGATTAAGAGTCATAAAACTGGTTGCTCCCACCTCTTCTTGATGGCCGGTAATGCAGCTGTCACCGCCTTTCCATTCTTGTACAAGTTTCTGTCGTCTTGATTACTGTAGTTTTGTGGTTTAAGTCTTGAAGTCACATGGTATTAGTCCTCTCAATTTAGTCTTCTTTTTCAAAGTTATTTGGGCTGTTCCAGTACTTTGCATTTCCATGTGAATTTTTGGATCTTCTTGTCAATTTTTATGAAAAAGTCATGCTCGGGTTTTGATTTGGATTGGGTTGAAGCTATAAATCAGTTTGGGGAAATTGACAACTTAGCAATATCAGGACTTCAATCTTGAACACAATCTATTTTATTTTCCATTTATTTGGGTCTTCTTTAATTTCTCTCAGAAATGTTTTGCTGTTTTCAGTATATAGGTCTTGTACATTTTTAAATCAGTCTCTCAATATTTTGTATTTTCGGTATGATTAGAAACAGCATTTTAATAAAATTTGTTCCCAGTTTTTTTCATTGCTAGAGTCTAGAAATGCAGTTGATTTTTATATGTCGGTCTTATATCCTGCCATCTCGTTAAATTCCCTTATTAGTTGTAGTAGCTTTTTTACGGATTCTATGATTGTTCTACATAGACGATCATGTCATCTATAAAAAGACACTTTTCCTGGATGTCTGGGTGTCTTTTACTTGTTTTTCTCGCCTTTTTGCGCTTGCTAGAACCTCTATTATAATGTTGAATGGAATGGGTAGGGTGGACATGCTTGCCTTGTCCCTGATGTTGAGGGAGTTGCATTCAGGATATCATAACTGGGTAGGACGTTAGCTGCAGGTTTTTCATTGATACCTTTCATCAGATTGACGAAGTTCTCTTCTAGTTATAGTTCGCTAAGAGTTTTTATCAGGAACAGATTGTAGATTTTGTCAAATGCCTTCTTGGCTTCCATTAAGGTGATCATAAATTTTTTAGTTTGTTAATATGGTGAATTATGTTAAATTAATTAAATCAACCTTGCATTCCTGGGATAAACCCTTTGTGGGAAAGGTTTTTTTTAAAAAAATAAACAATTTTAGGGTAGTTTTAGATTTACAGAAAAGTTGTGAAGATAGTACAGAGCATTCCCATATACCCCAAACCATTTCCCCATTATTAACATCCTATTAGCTTAGTACATTTATTACACTTAATGAACCTATATTGATACATTAATATTAACTAAAGTCCATACTTTATTCAGAGTTCCTTAATTTTTACCTTAATGTCCTTTTTCTGCTCTGAGATTGCATCCAGGATGCCACGTTATGTTTAGTCATCATGTCTCCATGGCTCCTCTTGGCCGTGACAGTTTCTAAGACTTTCTTTGTTTTTAATGAGCTGTAGTTCCAGAGAGCACTGTCCAGGTATTTTGTAGCATGACCCTCAATTGAGATTTGTCTAATTTTTTTTCATGATGAGACTGGGGTTATGGATTTGGACAGGAAGATGCCAGAGGTAAAGTGCCATTGTCATCACATCACATCAAAGATATATCCTGTCAACATGACTTGTCACTGTTGGTGTTAATCTCGATCGCCTGGCTGAGGCTGTGTTTGTCAGCTTTCTCCTCTGTAGAGTTACTCTTTTTAAAAGGTTTTCCCAGTGCAAAGGTTTTTAACTATGAATTCAATTTTTTTATAGCTGTAAGGCTATTGAGGTTATCTGTTTCTTCTTGAGTGAACTTTGGTAGTTTGTGTCTTTCAAGCAATTTGTCCATTTCATCTGAGCTGCCAAATTTATTGGCATAAAGTTGTTCATAATAGTCCCTTACTATCCTTATAAGATACATAGACTTTGCAGTGGTGTCATCTTTCTCATTCATTTCTGATTGGTAGTTTTTATCTTCTCTCTTTTTTTCTTGATCATTCTGGCTATAGGTGTATGAATTTTATTGATCTTCTCAACCAGTTTTCTATTTTATTGTCTCTATTGTTTACTGTTTTCTAGTTCATTGATTTCCACTTTGATAGTTATGATTTCATTTCTTCTGCTTATTTTGTAT